CTATGAGACTAACAAAAAAGATCCCTCCTATCCATATCAACTGATATTGTTTCCCAAACCTAAGTCTTTTCCTGTATTTTAGTACATTTCTTAGCACAAATATATTTAACACATTTACTAGTAAAATTCACCTACCACTTTACATAACAAGACACTGAAGTTTTGTAGGAAATAAACTGACACTACCTAATTTTCAGCACAAGCCAACTTCAGACAATTTGTAGAAAAAAGATAAAATATAAGATGTGAAATCACTATAAATGGTATGATTATTTAATCTCTAAAGCTTAGGCTTTTTACCTACAAAATGGCGATACTACTTTCAAAGTGTATTGTGAGATTTGATGACACTGTACATATTGAACAAATGCTAGCTATTATAAAACACCACCAGAGTTAGAAATTTCACATAAATAGCTCAGAAAATCCATTGGCTTTTTTATTATCTGAAATTTGTCTTTATCATATAATAAACATATTTTAAGACTCGGGTTTATACACAAGCCATTCTGCAAAGAACCTTCTATAAGCTTAGTTATCTTAACAGTCAGTATCTTTGAACTAAGAATAATTCACTTGGGGCTGGAGATGACTCTGCAATGAAATTGCTTACTGCTCTTGACAGAGGACTGGGTTTGGTTTCCAGCACCAACATGGCAATTAACAATCTGCCCTCAGTTCCAGAGGATCTGATGTCCCCATTGACCTCACTGGACTCCTATACACATTTGGTAGGCGTATATACACGCATATACATAAAATAAACAAACCTAAATACCCATCTCAGCCCAACTCCTGCTAACTGTGAAGACTTCTAAATTGGGGGGTTAGAGCTAGAGATATATAGCTCAGGTGGCAGAATACTTACTTGCCTAGCATGCAGAAATGCATACAACTGGGTGTGGTTGAGGCTTTCTGCAATCCTAGTTTATAATATCAGCATCTAGTAGAGGCATGAGTAACAGGAAGTCAAGGTCATCCTCAAATATTTAAACCCAGTTTAGGCTAAAAACCTTATGTCAAAAAATAAGTAAGAGACAGGGAAATTTCTTAGTGGGTAAAATGTTTTCTGCTCAGAAAGAAGGTCTGTAGCGCCCACATATAGAGCAAAATATGGTAATGCACAGCTGTGCTGTGAAACAAAGACAGGAAGATTCCAGGGGCTCACAGCTAACCAATCTATCCCATCATCAGTGAGTTCCAGTTCATTTAGAGACTGTAAAGACTTTATTTCAAAAAACAAGGTGGAAGGTGATAGAGGAAGACACTAAGATACCAGATATTCATCTCTGGTTTCCACCCACAAACAGATGAGCTTGAGAACCCACATACATATGCAAACACAACACACACAAAATATAAATAGCTCTTTATACCTTTACCATATACACAGAAAGTGCTGAAATTATAACTACTAAGATGAGGTCATAGTCACAAACAAAAGAGAGTTTAGATCATGGGGTGTGTAGGACTTAAGTTTTCTTTTTTAGGACTTAAGTTTTCTATTAAATTCTTAAGCATACAAAAAGGAAAAATTAACTTCCACATACCAATCAACAATGTTAAACAAATTATCACTGAGTGACCAAACCTATTTATGTACCATTTCTTCTATTAATTATTTTAAAACAATTGCAATTTTGGCATTTTAAAGAATGTGTATTCTGGGCTGGAGAGAGATGGCTCAGTGGTTAAGAGCATTGCCCAGCAACCACATGGTGGCTCACAACCATCTGTAATAAGGTGTAGTGCCCTCTTCTGGCCTGCAGATATACACACAGAATATTGTATACATAATAAATAAATAAGTATTTTTTTTAAAAAAGAATGTGCATTCTTAAAATGATTTAAATCTTCAGTGGATCATAAAATACAGCTACAAATTTCTCCCACGTCCCAGTAAGAACACGTGTTGGCAATGCCACGTGCTCTGGGACTGGACAGAACATGGCCAACTTTTACTTTTCTATCCCTTGAATGCAGAGGTGTCCTCAAGTGATACTGTATGATCTAAAAAAAAATCTTAAAGAGGTCTTGTAGCTTCTATTTTCATTCTTCAGATGCTATCCTGAAACAACATACCGTAAATCACTCAGAATAGCAAGATCCAAGGATCAACCAACACCACCTAAGAGCAGGGAAGGTAAATATGGCCGAATGAGGGAAGCTCTTTGACACACAAAACTTCTAGGGCCTTTTAGAAAAATCTCTCTTGATACTTAGCTATCACAGACTTAAGATATTCCTAATATTTTTAAGATTTTCTTAAATACTTTTAAAAAGTAAAAATTTAGCAGCAGCATCAAAAAATCTGTGATACTATCAGTACTACAGCCCTTAAAGATACAACCTATTCTCTTTGAAGTGGTTTGCTGTTCATTCAGCATTTTTTATAAGCCTACCCTCCTTTTAGAGCTGTGGAAAAATGGGTGCAAAGGATTAGGTGATTTTAAAACCAGACTTTCAAACTTATCTAGCCTATCTAGTAGTCACAGGTAAGGCCAGCTTTGACCACAATAAGGTTCATCTCGGTGTAGAAAACTAAAATTAAAATCAGACAACATCAAATCTCAGTCACCTCTTAAATTATAAAGCAATTTTATCACTTCTGCTCAGTCCTTTTGGGTTCACTCCCAGTAACTTTACTAATGATACAAGTTTAGTCAAAAACAGAAAAGATAAATAAACTCAAATAAAATTATCTTTTTCAGTGATTCATCAACTTTAGTAGGAACTTGTTCAACTTAAATTGTTATCTAATTTGGCCCACTGTTGATCTAATAGTTTAATAGCTCATTACTTAATACTTAATTTGTTACTTAAAAACATGACTTGATACAAGCTTATACATTTTACATAAGTCTTCCCAGGTTTCTGACACACACAAAACAATCTGCCAACAAAGATACTCTTTAGATCAATTTTATTGGATACAACATTCATTCCACAGCACAGGGCACTAAACTTCCTAATGTATTACAGAAAGTTTCCATGCCAACCTCTAACCTCCCTTCATTTCACCTTTGAGCCACTGTCACCTTCTAAAACCACATCACCACAAGCAGGTCCTAGCCACCCCTTAGCTGAGTGCAGGCATTTCTCCCTTCAACACTTCCCAAGCCTACACGTACCATTTATGCCTCCACAGCACTTCTGCGCAGTGTTTACAGCAAGGTACAGACAGCAATTGTTTACACATCCGTCTGATGACTAAACTGTGAGTTGTGGAAAGATAGAGAGCCAAGCTCATTGTTGCAAAGGGAAACCCTAATCTAGTAACCAAGCAGTGCTTTATACCAATGGATACATTTTCCACAGTTAAGATTACCTTCTTGAAATATATTAAAATGTGGACAACTCCTTATCATATAACAGATGAAAGAAGTGTGTGAGATGGATATGGAATTGATTAAGCGTTGTCTACATAAATACTATGGATGGCTTATGTATAAGGTGATTATCCAACACCTTCATGTAGAACAGAGGAAAATTTTGCAGTTACGCAGGAAAACAAATCTCCTTATTCCAGACACCTGATCTGGGTTTGGGGTTATAGTTTGGTCAGAGAGTAAATGCTTACTTAGTATACCCGAGACCCCACATTGCATAAGACATCTGACCCCATGAAACTGAAAATAAGATAATGGGGGATGGGGGGCGACAGTAAATCCCAACATATACATATATGACTGTCAAAGAATAAAATCTATAGGTGTGGGAGGAAAAGGCAATGGTGTACCATTTAGGGCAAAACTAGAGCTGTGTAGTGGTATTGGATCTGACAGCACACGCCAGCAATGCCAGAAAGCTTAGGCAAGAGTATCTTAAGTTAGAGGTCAGTCTGGGCAGCATTATAAATTCAATGCCAGCATGAAATACAACGTAAACAAAACAAACCCATATATACGTGAACCTATGTGGATACAACTCACAAAGTCCAATTTTAAGTTTTTCCTGAGCGTAATAGACCCGTGGTAAATTCTGTGTACAGTCATTACAAATTCACACTGCAAGTATTTTATGCCTTGTAGAGTGTTTGCTGACTGCTCCACACACTAGTTCAGCTCACTAAAAACACATCTCAGGAGCAGGGAACTCATCTCAACCAAGAAATCTGAAGATAACCACGGTCATGATAGTGACCAGGGCCTCTGATTCTACTGCTACCCCCTCACGGCCACAGCATGTCGGCTGCTTCCCACTCACGGGAGCTGGAAACGAAACACTGACCCCATTTCTGGTTATCTTGTGAAAATACCAAGAAAGAATCTTCCTTCTTAGTGACACTACTACTGTTGGGTTTGTAAATCAGAGATTTCTCTCTATGCTCGCCTACATTATGTAGCTTCATTCTGGATACAAAAGGAGTAGAAGGGAGCAAGAAATAGGGACATTTAAAACATTAAACAGAGTACTTAAAAACTACAAAAAACGGTGTGTGAACCGAGGCCGGCCGGCCGGCTCTTTAAATTGTTTTCACACTGGTCTTGAGGATGTGTTATTTACCCACACGAATCCCCCCCCCCTCCCATATACTAACATCTATTTTTGTGGAAAAGGAGTGTTCATTGTAGTGGTTTCGGAGTGTGTGTGTGTGTGTGTGTGTATACGCTCTTCGTCTTCGCGACGCAGTTTCAAGATGAGGGAGCATTTTATTACTCACACCTTGCGTGTCTAGAGTCGGTCATTTACACCTCTCGCCCCGGTTTGGCTCTCAAGAGCCATCTTTTGCTACACATGCCAGTGTCACCCAACTCACGGCGCGGGGCCACGCAGAGGCCTACCGTCACCGACCCCGAGGGGCTCGACCCCAACCGAAATTCCAGGTGGGGTGACCAAGCGCGATCCCGTACTCCCGCAGCACGGCGCCATAGGCCGCCGCGGGTCCCCGAGGAACACGCACCGTCCGCCCTCCCCCCCGCTCCCAGGGCCCGGGGGGTGGGGGTTGGGGGGAGCGCACGCCAATGCTCCCCTCCCCCACCGCTGCCGCCGCTCTTTACCCTCTTCCAGCTGGCACACCGCAGGGAGCGTGGGGCTCACCGCAGCCACACGGCCTCCTCCTCCTCCTCCTCCTCTCCCGGTGCTCTCGGTCTCAGGCCACGGGGACAGCAGAGCAGTCGGCGACGAAGCACAATGGCGGCCACCCCTCCGGATGCGGCGCACAAGTGGCCGCCGCCGTTGGCAGCCCCGCCCTTCCTCCTCCCCCGCCCCCTTGCGCGCTCTCGCCCGCCCGCTTCTCGCGAGACTGGCGGCGTTGCGGGGGAGCCGGGAGCTGCGGGCGGGCTAGACGTGCCCCGCCGCGGGGTGGTGCTCTGACTGCGGCAGCCGTTGAGGGCCGCATCGGGGGAAGCTGCCAGGCGCCACGGTAAGCGGCCGCGGCTGGTCGGCGACGTGCGGGCGTGCGGGCGCCGGGAGCGGCGCGGGAGGCCGGGCGGGCTGGTCACCGCCCGGGGTGCGAGGGGCACGGTGCTCGCCTCGCTCCCGCGCCCGCCGCGGGCCCCGGTAGGCCCGCCGCTCCGGGTCCCGCCCGGCTGGTTGCGTGGGTGGATTTTGTTTCTTTGCGCTTGGCAAGTGGCGCAGTGACAGTTGACGGAATCGAGTCAAACACTTGCCTTCTCCCACTTCCCCTTCGAGCCGCCCCTGGCGCGTCCCTGCCCACCTTGTAGGGTTTGACAGCGCTCCCTCCATCTACAGCCTCCTGATTGATTCCGACAGTCCCTTTCTCGTAGTTTCCTTGGAGTCGATAAGTTTTTAGTATTTTTTACGGTCACTTCTATCTTAAAATTAGGCTGTTAAGCTTTGAGAGCGCAGCTACAGGTTTTGCAGCAAACATTCACTTATGTAGAAAGACCGAGGAAATTCTGTGACGTAGTCTGGTGTATATGAGTGGAAACTTTCAAAGCCGCTCTCAATGTGGTAAACTAAGATGTAAATGAGAACTAATAAATACGAAGGAGTGTGGGAAAGCCGCAAATGATGGGGAGTTTGACCGATGTCCCAAGCACCAATTGTTTGACGGTAAATTCTTACTGAAACTTGGAAGCGTGGTGAACACACGGAATTTTATGAGTGACGTTTGATTTGATTTAGCTTTTTGTTTGTTTCTTTCTTTCTTTTAAAGAATCCCTTGGATCCAAATTTCACGAAGTGAAATGCCACATATGTATGTATGTATGTATGTGTGTGTGTGTGTGTATTTGGATTTGGATTTGTCATTTCATACGAACAAAGTGGAGTATCAGTCGGCAACCATCCCTGTTTCATTGGTCTGCGGTCATCACTATAATAAATTTTAGCTACTACAAATTTCAGGGGATTTTTGTTTGCCTTTTGTTGACACTCACGCATCAGCCTTTTAGGGTGTTGAAATGTAGACAAAGTATCTGGTAGGGAATATAATTAAATACAGATTACTTTTAATTTGTCCTTTTAAGAAAATTAATTGTTCCATTATGGTTTGATCGACCGTGTAACACCCTTAAGAATCAGAATTCTTGGGTTCAAATCTCAGCCCTGCTTCTTACTACCTTTATCTTCAGCAATTGTTTAAATTTGCTAAGAATTCCTTAATCCGGGCTTCTTCCCGTGGATTAGAGACCTAAATCCACAATACTGCCTAAACTTCAAGGTGTTGTTGAAAGGATTAACTGAGGTGATACATCATCAATTCTTAGAACATAGCAAGCATTCCATAATTGTTCATAGTTACCTGTGTAAACCACCCCTGTACCTTTCTAGAACTTAACATTGTATAGATCCCTAAACATCTTTCTGAGCGTGTTCTGTGTTTCCCTGAGTTATAGTAGTCAAACCTAGTAGTGGGAACTTTTCTCTGGAAGCCCTAAATCTGGCAAGGATCGCATATGGGTTTTGGCAGATTATGGCTTCGTCTCCTCCCAGTACTGAGGATTTTATTATGAGAGGTGAGTGTGGTACCAGATTTCTATTTCACAGAGATTCCAGATGTTAATTGTTTAAGAACGTTTAGATTTGTTTATTTATTTAGTGTGTGTATGGGCGAGGGCACTCACACCGAGAGCATGTGTGAGGTCAGAGAGCGACTTTTGGGTGTGGGTGTCCTCCACCATGTGCGCCCTGGGGATTGAACTCAGGCCATCAGGCTTGGCAGCAGGTGACTCTACCTGTTGAGTCATCGCTCAGGCTCCAGGTTCCAGTTTGTAGTTAATGCTAGGTAACATCTAAAAACCACTGACATACGTTTTTTCTTTGAGAATGGTTGGGGGGAGGGGGGGATTGATTTACTCCCTACTGTGTATTTTTAAGTAATTTATCGTTGTCAACAAATAATTACTGAAATTTTGCTGTGTTAAAGACATTTTATGTTTCACTTGAAATTATGGATTTAAGTAGATATAATAGTGTCTGTATGTTACCAAACGATAATCAGAGCAAACAATTGGATAGGCTAGCATCTGAAATCAGAGCTCTTCTAAACAAGCTAGACTCAATCCCCTTTCATTTGTCCATTGGCCCGTCTTTGATAATCTATCCTCTCTGACTGTGGCTCCTTTCTGAATTAGTGTCTCTTATTCTAATTATTCTGAATTAGTTGACTCTTGCCAACACCGTTCTTATTAATTTCCATCTCTTTACTTCTCCAAGGCAGTGTCTCACTGGCTTTTACTGACTTCATCCCTCTGCTTTATAGACTTGTATGTCAATCTAGCCATGGCCATACAGTCCTTTATCCTTAGGCTTAATTGTTCAATATATTGGATTACTTAGAATTCTCTTTCAGAAGTTACATTTCAAGTTACCTTTTCTCTTTTCATCGTTGGACCATATAACCTTTGTAGAAGCCCCCGTATGTGAAAAGCAATCATAAAGATGTTCTTTACTGCTGAGAAGATAAGGCATTATTACTATTAGCTTTTTGCAAATTGATCATTTTCAGTTATAGATTATCTTAATCTTTTGAGAAACCTGTTTCTCTACCATGAGTGCTTTTTGGGGGATACCAGTTTCTTCTCAAATGAAAATGTTATTAATCCCTAGGCTAGAGAAGGGAATCTGGGGTCATCAACTAACTTGACAATCTACTATTTAAATTTATAGGTAGTGCCTGTCATGGTGGTGCACACCTGTAATCCCAGCACTGGAACTCAGGAATCGGAGGCAGGAGGATTACAAGTTCAAGGCCAGCCTGGGCTACAGAGTTCCTAGCCAGCCTGGGCTATGAGACTCTGACTCAAATTAACAAAAATAATAATAAAAATAAACTCATAGGTAGGTCCCATTTTCTAAATTAAAGATCCCTATTTGCAATAAATGTTATGAAAGTCTTGTACATCTTTGATAAAAAAGAATTCCTTTTGTGCCTAAAATTGTAACTCTTGTGTTTAATATTTCATAATTTTTTAATTTTCCTTAACAACTATTATTGAAAACATGCAAAATTTAATAAATGAATATCTAAAACGTTCCTTTAATTGACTTCTGCTTTTTTTGGCAGGAAAATTTTAATCTCCAAAGGTAATAATAAAAACATAAGAACATGTGAAAATAATGCCAAAACATTAGAGATCACTCACATTCACTCATACTTGTTCCAGACTGTCTGTTCTAGCAAGGATGATTTCCAACTCGGGGGCACAATTTCCACTACATGTGTGACACACCTTTTGCAGTGTTTAAACCCTAGAATGTGGAGCCAGAGAGATGACTCCATGGTTAAGAGAGCTTGGAGTGCCCAGTATCCACATCCAATGTCTCACAACTGCCCGTACTTCTAGCTGCAGGGTGTCTGATACCCTCCTCGGGCCTTCGAGGGCCCTGAATTCACATGCACAAACCCTCATACTGACACACACATCCATACCTAATTAAAAATTTAAATCTCAAACTAAAACGAGCTTAATGAAAGCAGCTATCTTTTATTAATGATACAACTACGGTTCGGGAAAATCCAGGCTAGATCTTATCCACCAGCTGTTACTGTAAATAGTTTTAATGGAACAGTCATGCCCATTAGTTTATGTATTGTCTATGCATTAGTCAAGGTTCTCCAGAGAAGCATGGGCAGTCGTCTACCACACATTACCTGTCACTTACCAGGAGATTTACTTTAAGGGTTGGCTAATACAATTGTGGTGGCTGACAAGTCGGAAATTTATAAAGCAGGCTGGCACTTACATTCAGGAGTCTGACAGTCTTGAGGGAGAATTCCCTCGTTCCTAGGAAACCTCAGGTCTTCTGAGCCTGATTAGACAGGGCTCATGTGCAGTTTTGAGAGCCATCTTCCCTTTCAGTTAACAGGTGTAGGTGTTAACCACAACTACAGAACTCCACCACAGCATTTATATTTACCGGATGAGTGCTGATTGTCTAACTGGGTACTCAAGTCTTGTCTACACAATAAAGTTAGCATCACTTGGTGTAGTAATGAGGAGGAGTGGGCCACTTCCCACCGCCCAACTGGCTTATACCCGGGACTGGCAGGCTGCTTGTCGTCCCAGCCACCTGGCTAGCTTATGCCCGAAATAATCACACAGAAATATGTATTAATTAAATCACTACCTGGCCATTAGCTCTAGCCTCCTGTTGGCTAATTCTTACATCTTAATTCAACCCATTTCTGTTAATCTGTGTATTACCAGGAGGTCGTGGCTTACCGGGAAAGATTCAGCATGTCTGACTCTGGCAACTCCATGGCATCTCTCTCTGCCTTCTTTCAGCATTCAGTTCTCTTTTCCCCACCTATCTAAGTTCTGTCCTATCAAAAGGCCAATGAAAGCAACACATAGAAGAACCTCCCACACCATTTCCCCTTTTTCTGTTTAAACAAAAAAGGCTTTCATTTTAACATAGTAAAATTACATATAACAAAACAGTTATCAAGCAAGAATTACAGTTACAATATATTTTATCTTTTATCATAACAAAGGAAAACTATAACTATTCTTCAATTCCATCAAAGACTCTAGAAGGATATAATATTAAGTAAACAAGAAGTAAGCAACTTCCAAAACTCTAGAAATGACAGAGACATCTCACTGACTGGACAGTCACCCAGAGTTATTCTGTACTGTTGGGGCATCCATTTTCAGCCTACATGCCCATAGTATCCAGCAGACATTTCCATGAAGCAGGAAATTTCAAAGATGGTTCAGTCACTCATATGTATCCTGCAGAATGTCATGCAGACTCTTTCATTAATCAGGAGCCCTGAAGGATCATCTCACCTTTAGGCAAGTTTAACAGTCCTCTCTCTGAGGGTTCTTCATGTCCAGTTTATGCAACAGTCTAGGCAAGAGCAGTTTCTTGGCCAAATGGCTAACCAACTCCATAAGGAGCCTCTTCAATGCCCATCTTCCTCTTGAAGTAGATTGGTGCTGCCGGGAGCAGACATGTCTCATTGTCATGCAAAGCCCTAAGTTATTAAAACATTAAATGCCATATTCTGCAGTCTTTGAAAGATATGAAGAATGCCTATCTGAAATATATCTATGCACATATAGAAAATCTAACAGGACTACAAACTTGACTATTATAGATGATTATTCATTAACAACTTACATTTCCTAGTTATACATTACATTTTAAATGAACTACACAATCACAGTACCTTAATCAAGATCAGAAATACTTATAACAAAATTAACCTTAAATTTATATTACTAAAGCAAAATCCATATCAATGCAAATTATTCATATTTATATCCTATCCCCCTTTAAATGTAAAAGAACATTTATGAACAATATTTGGGAATATGGGTGCAGTTATTTCTCTCCAAACTGCTTCCTGCTGTATGGGGGCACTGTTAATCAGGTCTTTCATGGTGTATCCTGTTTGCTAGGTTCCTCTCAGTCAGCAGTTGGGCAAAGTAATTTTTTGAGGGTGTGCACAGCAACCTTTCAGGAGGGTGTGGTCTATCATAACATATTGGTCTAGAAGCAATTCACAGGTCTCATCTTCTGTGGAAACAAAAGAAGAATCTCTTTTCCAAAGCATCATGTCCTTAGACCCAAATTTTGAAGTCAAGATACCTTTAGAACATATATGCTGGTTTAGCTTAGCAGACCACACAATGAAATGTCTCTCTGTATTTAGCTCCTTCACAGTCAAAAAGTTGAAAGAAAATACAATAATATACAGAATCCAGGCTCTCTGTGAATTTTCCATTTTTACGTAGCTTTCTTTTTGTTTTTGTTTTTCGAGACAGGGTTTCTCTGTAGCTTTGGAGCCTGGCCTGGCACTAGCTCTTGAGACCAGGCTGGCCTCAAACTCACAGAGATCTGCCTGCCTCTGCCTCCCTGGATTAAAGGCGTACCCCGGCCTATTTGGTTTTTCAAGACAGGGTTTCTCTGTGTAGCCTTGACTTTCCTGGAACTTTACTGTGTAGACAAGGCTGTCCTCAGACTCACAGAGATTCACCTGCCTCTGCCTCCCAAGTCCTGGGATTAGAGTTACACATCACCACAGACTGGCAAAATTTCTCTTTTATTATTGTTTATGAATCTCTTGTTAGGGAAGTGACATAGCCTAACTACAATAAAAGATATGTTAAAAAATTTTAAAAATTGTTTACATGTGTTTATTTTGTGTGTGTGTGTGACTATAGGAATGTGTGGGGCGGTCAGAAGAAAACTTGCTCGAGCGGGATCTCTCCTACCATGTAGGTGTTGAGGACTAAATTTAGGTCATCAGGCTTGGTGGCATACACCATTAGCTACCCAGCCATCTTGCCAGCTCCTATGTGTTGAAATGTAATGACTAATATATTTATATTAAGAAGCCACTGCCACGTGGCGATACACAGATTAATGGAGATGGGTTAAATTTATATGTAAGAATTAGCCAATAAGAAGCTAGAGCTAATAGGCCAATGAGTTATTTAATTAATACAGTTTCTGTGTGGTTATTTTGAGGCTGAGCAGCTGGGAACCAACAAGTGGCCTCCTTCAACAGTGATATGTGGCATGAAGGAATAGAATTACTCTTCACTTTATGCCACATAAAGAACCTTGTGGAAACAGTGTAGTCTCTATCAGATACTAGTCCTCTTGACATCTAGATCTTAGATGGCCTATCGTCCAGAACTGTGAGAAATTAATCTCTACTGTACATAATACACAGTCTGTACTATTTTCATTTAGCAGTGCAAATATAGTAAGAGAGGTAGCAGGTTGATCTGAATGGCCAACTTTTATTGAAATAATGAGTGTTTAAATACAAACTACTTTATAAATACTAAGCTTTAGTAACAAAATGATTCAACTGTTTTCTTTGCTGAATGTTTTAATAGCAAGCCATTACAGAATGATATTTTTCTATAATTAAAAGGAAAATAATACTTAAGGGGTTGGGATAGAGCTCATTTGGTGGACCACTTGCCTAACATACTTGAAGCATGATTCAGTTCCCAGGACAGTGTAGAACTGGGACCGATGGTAATCCATGCCTGTAATCCTAACCTGTTATGCCAGTACTTAGAGGTGAGGTGGAAGAGTCAGAAGTGCATAGTGTTCTGGGCTACACAGTGAGTTCATGGGACACACGAAAGAGACTTGGAGGAAGGAAGGAAGGAAGGAAGGAAGGAAGGAAGGAAGGAAGGAAGGAAGGAAGGAAGGAAGGAGAAAGAAAATGGGGGCTTGGGGGCTGGAGAGATGGCTCAGAGGTTAAGAGCATTGCCTGCTCTTCCAAAGGTCCTGAGTTCAATTCCCAGCAACCACATAGTGGCTCACAACCATCTGTAATGGGGTCTGGTGCCCTCTTCTGGCCTGCAGACATACACACAGACATAATATTGTATACATAATAAATAAATAAATAAATAAATAAATAAATAAATAAATATTAAAAAAAAAGAAAATGGGGGCTGGAGAGTTGGCTCAGAGGTTAAGAGCATTGCTTGCTCTACCAAAGGTCCTGAGTTCAATTCCCAGCAACCACATGGTGGCTCACAACCATCTGTAATGGGTCTGGTGCCCTCTTCTGGCCTGCAGGCATAGACACAGACAGAATATTATATACATAATAATAAATAAATAAATAATTTTTAAAAATGCAACACTTAAAAACATTTTAAAAGACTTTTTAAAACTTAGGCATGCACATGTATGCCTGTAGGTAGATTTGTGCATATGAGTCCAGTTGCAAACAGAAGCCAAAGTTCTAGTCTAAATATTTTAATAATTGCTATTTTTTCCATATTTAACACTACCTTTTTGTTCTTGAGAATTACACAATATTTTTAAAATTTTATACTTATGAAAGACAGAATACAAACTTTTCAGAATAAATATGTAACACTTCCTTTATGATACTTGTATTTCATAGCTATCTAGGTTATATTCTAGAAATACAGTATTAATTCCAAATCTCAAGCTTTTTTATTATTTTACCTTGTGCTATAGTTTGTACCCAAGTTATTATACATGCTAGGAAAACATTCTACTACTGAGCTATGTCCCAAGATCTCTCAAAGCTTTTGAAAAGAACATTTATCTAAAAAGAACAGTGGCAGGCTACTTAACATTGTTTCTGCTTTACTTACAATAAATGTATAGATAATGTTTAAGTTACTTTTTTGTGCGTACATGTGTGGAGGTCAGAGGACAACTGTCAGGACTGGTTCTCTCCATCCACAGTGTAGGTCCTGGATACGGATCTCAGGCTGTCAGGCCTGGTGTCAGACACAATTGCCAACTGAGCCATCTAGCTGGTCCTAAATTTCTTATCTTTAATTAAGCATATATGTATGTGTATGTGTGGGGGCACATGCACATGAGTGAAGTAAGACATAATGGATGACGTGATGTCGGGTTACAGGCTGTTGTCAGCTACCTGTTGTAGGTGCTGGGAATCTACAAGGTCCTCTAGAAGAAAAGTGTGCACTCTTAACCACTGAGCCATTTCTCCATATTTTAAATTTTTAGTAAATTGCTTACGTTAGTGAAGTGTGAGACATGGGATTTTAAAACTTTGTGCATCCTTTACTATGTTATTTGACTCCATACTGTGATATACACCTTCTGTATGCTTTTCATTGACAGATTGGATATTCTTTAGGGCCACTTAAGTGGCTTCTACTTAGTGCGACATAGTATTGATAGCTTATCTATTTCACACTCAAAAGAACAACTGGAAGTCTATCATGTTTTTATTACTTGACCTCTCCAGTGTTTTAGAAAATTTTTATGTTCTTCATATTTGATTTTTTACACTGTAATGTCCTATATGTAAATATCCCAGCACTGTTGACTTCTATAGTTCCAGTGAGGAACTATGATCAGTACAGTCATGTGATTTCATAGTAGGGGTAAGTTCTAAGAACATTGTTAGGCAATTTTATTGTTGGGCAAACATTATTGTATTTCTAGGTCGTATAATCTTATGATACCACTGTAACATATGGAGCCTGTTGGGAAAGATCATTATGTAACACACGACTATAAAACTAAAAAGAAAGCCCTTCAAACAGTATATTATAGGCTCGGGATGTAGTTTAGTTGAGTGTCTAGTGTACAGGAAGCTGTGGGTTTGGTCCCCCAGCACCAAATTAAGCAAAGCATATGACACAAGTCTAATGCCAGCACTCAGGAAGTTCAGGCCGAAGGATCAGAGGTTGAGTTTAAACTACATGAAATCCTGTTTCAATAAATAAAAAGCAAGTGGTATATATTAGATAAGATCCTAGGAATTCTGAGTTAAAAGTCATTGAAATTTTGGATGAATCAAATTTTTTTTTTTTTTTTTTTGAGACAGAGGTTCTCTGTGTAACAACCCTGACTGTCCTGGAACTCACTCTGTAGACCAGGCTGGCCTCAAACTCACAGAGATCTGCCTGCCTCTGCCTCCCTAATACTGGAATCATAGGTGTGCACCACCACTGCCCAGTTTGAAATCAAATTTATTGTAGCATTGTAGATATGGTATAAAGTTTGGCAAGAAGAAGGGTTAGGGAAATAACTCAGAGAAGTGGAATGAAGCAAGAAGAAAGATGCTAGGTCATTATTGATCACAATGCTATTATGCCCTGAAATTTACTATGTTCTCTATAAAGAATAGAATTTGAAAATTCAAGATGTTTTTAATTTGTAATAGTACCTTTGATGTGGTTAGGCCACCTTCGATACGGATTTGCTGTATAATCCAAAAACATCCAATAGAAAGGGCATGTCAGCCTTACAAGAGAAGCTTGTGGTTGTGGTTGTATGTCATCACCCTTTTTGAGGATATTGCATATATCTGACTCCAGCCTGCCTTGCTAGTTCTCTCATCACATGCTACTTCCGTTATCTGGAATTTCCAAAGCGTTGTCCATGCAGGCAGTAGGCATTCAGTGTATACTGATGGACTCATCAAACTCATCGGGTTGACATTTGTAATTTGGTTGCTTATGGAAATTAAGTGATAATTATCTGATAGTATTGTATATGTACTTATTTGTAAATGGAAGTAAAATATTTATTACTAAAATGTCTTTAGTTCAAGATACTGTTTCATTTTTTTTAAATTTGTTGTTGTTTTTGTTTTGAGGCAGGGTTTCTCTTTGTAACAGTCCTGGAACTCACTCTGTAGACCAACCAGGCTGGCCTGAAGCTCACAGAGATCTACCTGCCTCTGCCTCCCAAGTGCTGGGATTAAAGGCCTGCACCACCCCCACTCAACTTACTATTTTAAATTTTTATAGCCATTGGAAAACTTAAAGTTATTAGTTCTTTGAAAAAAGATCTTAATATTTAGGTTTTAATTCCTAAAAACTGTTAAGTGAGAAGTAAAGCATTGATTTGTAGAATTATTGAAATCGTGTATAGTGTAAATAGTTATATGGAAAGTTGAACATTCTGGATGTATGAAGCAACTATTTTAAATGAAATATTTTATATTGAAGTGAAAAGAGACTATTTTTCAGTATTATCATAATAGTGTTTGTTAGCATGAGCTAAACATTCTTAGAGTGGGTGAAGTAGTAGTAGTTTCTAGTAAAGTAAAATATTTTTAAATTCCAGGGATTGAATATAAGACCTTGTGCATTCTAAGCAAGTGTTCTATCATGCCCTAGTCTTCTTTTACTAAAGAACAGAGAAACAAAAGAACAAAAAAAATTATGGTTTGTTTGGTTTGGTTTTTTGAGACAGGGGTTCTCTGTGTAATAGTCCTGGTTGTCCTGTAACTTGCTTTGTAGACCAGGCTGGGTTCAAACTCACAGAGGTCCGCCTGCATCTGCCTTCTAAATTCTGGGATTAAAGGCATGAGCCCAAATGCATGGCACTAAAATATTTTTATGATGAGGAGAAAGAGTAGCTATTTAAAAAATGGGCTTTTTAAGATACCATAGTGACCATGCCGTAGCTTTGGAATCTGTTCTGGAACTCACTCTGTAGAGATCATTTCCCTCTGCCTCCCAAGTGCCGGAATTATAAAGGTGCGCTCCACAACAAGCTAAAGATTTGATTTTTAAGTAGTTGTGTGTATGCGTGTATGTCTGTGCTTCAGTGTGCATAGAGTGCAAGTCCCTGCAGGGGTCAGAGATGTTGGGTTCCCCTGGATCTGTGGTAACAAGTGGTTGTGAGCAACCCAGTATAGGTACTGGGAACCCATTACTAGAAGAGCAGTGCGAATTCTTAACCACTGAACCCCTAAAACAGCAATTCAATTACATTTCTTTAATAAAATGAATATTCTCATTTAATTTATGTATAAATGTATTTACGTAAGATTCCCTTTTCTTTTTAACAGCATGACCTTTAAGTTGTTATTTGGACTCTTTTGTTGTTATTGTTTTGAGACAAGGTTTCTCTGTGTAGCCCTGGCTGTCCTGGGTCTGGCTATGTAGACTAGGCTGGCCTTGAATTCACAGAAATCTGGCTGCCTCTGCTTCCCAAGTGCTGGGTTTAAAGGGCTGCCTGGGTGTTCTCTCTCTCTCTCTCTCTCTCTCTCTCAACGTAAGTCATAAAAGACAGAATTAAGACTCTGAAACACTAATAGACCTTACAATAAACTGTTATTAAACTTGACTATTTAAATAAAAACAGTTTTTCTGATGGAAATTCCTAAACAAAAAGAGGTAATTCCTTTCGATTAGAAGAGTTTTGGAGCTGGAGAGATGGCTCAGAATCTGAGTTCAATTCCTAGACCCCATATAAAAAGCCTGCTCTGCAAATACCTGTAATGCCAGCCCTCCAGAGGCATTCTAGACTAGTCTGCTAGTCTAGGCAAGTGAGGCCCTATCTTTAGAAAATGGGGACTTGGTCTAAGGGATGTAGATCATGGTGGTCCTATGAAACAAAATAGTCTTAAAATATCCTCTCAGTGGCTCATCTTCTAACCCAGTTAAAGAAATCAATTTATAAAAGCAGTGGAATTTGCAGTTTTACTTGTTTTCAAACACAAATTTTACTGATGGCCTTAGGTTATACCCTTCCAAAATCCTAGCTCTGGTCACATAAAATGATAAAAGGGACACGGCTTGAAGATTTCATTGTCTTTGTACATAAAACAAAAGGTGAAGCTCAGAACTGGGTTACATATCCTACTTCTTTTCCTCCCGATTCAAAATGTTTCTATTTCTTAGCCAATATTCTCTTAGATTTGCAGTTAAGCTTAACACATTCAAGCTTTTGCCTTTTCCCAGAAACTCAGTTTAATTGGGTGATGACAGTCACTCTGCCTCTGACACTATTACTGCTTTTGCGTGTATACAAAGAACCCTTACCTTCTGTGCTCTTCCTTTGGCAGCCTGTTGGTGCTACACCTTGCTAGTTTAGGAACAAGCAGTATATTTGCAGAAGTGCTGTACATAGAAGAAGCAGAGAAGGCATTCTTGGATTAAAAAAACTTTTTTTTGAAATTGATAAACTCTTACACAGTCAGTCTTGATCAAAGAAAACAGGGCCAACTGCAACTTCCGCCATAGAAAACTAATTTTAAAAGAAGATAGAAAATGAGAAGAGGTCACTTGATGGAATTCTTGTAACACCTATCACCCTCTCCTCTCCTCAAAAACAATCAAAACAGGCATAAAGGTAGACTTACAGATCCTTGAAATGGAAATCAAGAATACAAAAATAAACATTTTATTTACACTAACTGACTTCTTTTCATCAAGAATGCCAAGAGAGTAAGCAAAGAAAACCTCTTAAACAATGCAGACTAGAAAGAAATTGACATGTAAAGAGTGAATTTGAATCCCATATCTCACACTGTAAACACAATTTGAAGTGAGTAAAAGAGCTGCGTATCTAGGTATAGTAGTGCTTCTATGCAACTTCTTGTCTTCATGGCAGGTTAAGGCCAGTCTGAGCTACATAGCAAAACTGAAACACACACACACATACATACACACACACACACACGTACACACACACATACACAAAAAAAACCAGGAAACTAGTCAAAACCTTTGTACAATTCAACAATGAAAAGAGAAGTAATCCAACTTTAAATAAAAGCTTTAAGTAGACATTTTAGTGTATATCAGTCATTTGGGAAATGCAGATCAGAACCACAATGAGGTATTTTTTCATATAGTAAGACAATAAAAAAAGATAAATGTTCACAGTAACATGGAAAGTTGGAACCGTAGTACATCACTGTTGGAAATATAAAATGGTATAGATGCTTAGGAAGGAAGTTAGGCAGTTCCTCAAAAGATTAACTGTAATTACCAAAAGGATCATTAGCTTAATTCCTGTAGATGCCCATGTATCCAAGAGAATGGACCGTGTGTCACAAAGGATCCAAGATACAAATATTTATAGCATTATTCATAGGAGCTCTAGAAACAACCTATGTTCATTGATCAACAAATAAACAAAATAGAGCATATCTGTGTGCAGTGCTTAATCATCATTTTCAACTTGAGTAGGTTTAGAAACACCTAGGATACACACTCCTAGGTTTGTCTTACAGGCCATTTCCACGGAATTTTAACTGAGTAGGAAAGAGTCACCCTGAATATGGTAGCACTATGCTATGGGCTTTCTGGGGTCCTGAGGTGAATGAAAAGGGGAAAAAGAGAAAGCCAACTGAGCATTCTTTTTTTGTCTTCTGATCTGCCCTGATATAAGCAAATTCCCACTACCAAAACCACAAGTAACTTCTTCGCCATGTCTTCCCTCAACCCCCCACCCCATCATGGTGGACTCTATCCCTAAACCACGAACCCAAACAAACCCGCCTTTAAAGTTGCTGGTGCCGGTATTTGGTCCCAGTGAGAGCAGAGTAGCTACTACAGTCTAACTCAGCCAGAAAAATGGAAGTTCTGCTACATGCCCTAACCTGGAGAAATCTTGAAAATGTCATCATAAGTGAAAAAAGGTAAAAACAAAAGGCATTATCGAGAATAGATCTATTCATGGAGATGGAAGCAGGGTAGTGGTTGTTGGAGACTAGGAAGAGCATGAATTGAGAATGCTAACTATTGAGTATGGATTTTCTTTCAGGGTGATTAAAATTTTCTGCACCTAGATGGTGGTGACAGTCTTATGAATTTGAGAATGTGCTAATTGCACTAAAACCCACAGATTGTGTTTTTATGTATTTATGTGGATAGGAATGCTTTAAGAAAGACTAAACAGACCTGGTGGCTAGAAATCTAAGATCAGCCTGTCATAAGAGTTGATTTCATTCTGAGACAATCTCTTGGTAGGTGGCTATCTTGCTGTGTGCTTGTGTGGTTACCCATCGGTCTGTATTTTGCCTGTCTTAACAGATTTTTAGAGGAGAACACATTTTTTAACTTAGCCACCTCCTTTAAAGGCCGTTATCTCTGAAATCAGTCACATTCTGAGGTTGTGGGCGTTAGGACTTCCACACATGAATATGGAGTTGAGAGATGGTGAAGCACTCTACTCTAAAAGATAGAACAGGAAAGACTAATGCTATGGCATGTGCATTGTATCTCAGGCTGAGGATAGATCAGTGCTAGGGTGTTTGCCCTGCAGAAGCTCCTGGGTTAGAGCTCAGCATGAGAAACAAATAAAAACCTTAAGTACTTACATTGTAACTCCTCTGCCAGATAACCTGAAAACCAAGGCAAAAGATAATTTCCAAGCTAACCTGAGAATATCTCAATTAGCAATAAGGAAAATAAAATACTAAATAATAAACATCAAAGAGTGTACAGAATTATTGTAGAAAACTTTACAAAATATATGAAACTAGAGTTGACTAATAAAAAGATAGTTCTAATTTGTAAATGTAATATTACCTTAGCTCTAGGACTCTTGTTTGGGTTGGCCCTGTGCAAGCCCTGATCAAGCTGCCACATCTCTGTGGGTTCAAATGTGCATCAGTCCTGTTGGGTCTTGAGGACCCTTTCTTTGAAGTCCTCCATATCCTCTTTTACAAGTTAGCAAAAGAAAGCCGTTTTCTATACTTTTAACACCTACTGATGTGGTTGAGAGTTAAACCTAATTTGATCTAGCTTGAGTTAGCTCCACACCACACAGGTCAATGGCTTGGACCCCCAAGACTGATTTACTCACTTCAGCCATACTGCAGGTCCCAGGTCTCCTATACAAGCATGAGGTTCCCATGACCCTTTTGTATATCTGTAACTTGGTCAAAGAGCTTTCAAAGCTAAGAGAGGAGCATCTGTATCCTTAGCACAGGCACCTCAGTTTCTGTGGAGTTAGAGGCACATCTTCCCTCCTCTAATGTGTTCAGCCTGGAAGTTCTTTTCTGAACCCCTATACTTAGGGGTTTATTGGGGGATCTATTATATAGGCATGATTAATTAAATATTGACCACTCACCAGTGACTTCAGTCTTTGGTTCTTCTCCCCTCCTAAGAGGTCTGGAGTTAGGTCCAAAAGTCTCCACTCTCTAGTCATGCTTAATTTCTCTGTCAACAAGCCTCCATTATTAGGCTAGTCACATTATTAGCATAAACTCAGAGTTTGTTTATGAATTACAAAACAATGCCCCCTCACCTAATTTCACACTAAGAAGTCCACAAAATTCAAAGAATCCTGAAAGCGCTGTACCAGAAACTGGGGACAAAAGTTAATTATTGTATTTACCAGAGTTGGAAAATAAGAATATTTGAAGACTGAGGACATAGGTCAGTGGTAGAGTATTTGCCTGCTATGTTGAAGGCCTGGGTTCAAGAGAAACAGTGAGAGAGAGAGATACAGGGATAGAAGAGGGATGAGGAGAAGGAAAGGGAACAAGAGAGAAGCATATTTGAAAGCTCTGGTACAGGAATGGAAACCAAGTCTTTTGGACAAAGGAGATGGATTTGGGCAGGAGAGGCTTTGAGATAAAAGGCCTTACAACTAACTAATCCATGTTCTTTGGAATAAACCGTCCAGAGAGCGTTATTAACAAGGTCTGTGACTCCCTGGTCATCCAGTTTACGACCACTACGGTGTAATGCAGTCATGTCTTTTTAATAGGATTTGTTCCAGGAGCCGTAGGAGCTCCTAGAACCGCCTTCAGCTCCCCTCTTAGCTTTATTCTTGGGAGCAGGATAATGTGCTGTTGTACTTCAGTATATAAACCATAGGAATCTCCACCATCCTGCCTCCGCTCCAAAATCTGGATTCTAGAGTACATCCGCTTCCGGGATTTCAACTAAAAAGCATTAGGTTTTCAATATTGTCATCTTCTGACTTTTCCTACTGCAGATGCAGTGTCAATCTTAATTTTCTGGGTTTTTTTTTTTTTTTTGCTGCTAAGATCTTTCTCTTTATTCATACCACACACACTTCTGCTGTAAAGTGTTTGAATATGACTCTATCCTGTTTGACACTGGATGTGACACTGTGAGTGTATTATTTTAGTCATTAATCTCATGGAAAATTTGGATTGTCACATGTTAAATACTGTTCCTCTACTATTCTAAACATAACATAATTTCTAGAGTTATCCTGTCTCCTTCATATTGTTATCTTTGGAATTTTTTTTTTTTTTTTTAGACAGGGTCTCATCTAGTCCAGGCTGTCTAGTTGAGACTGACCTTGAATTTCTGATCCTCCTGTTAGTACTTCCCAGTGCTGGGACAACAGGTGTGCACCTCCATGACTTGTTTCTGTGGTGCTAGAGATTGAACCAGGCCATAGTTTAGTACATGCTGGGCATATTCTCTACCTGCTGTGCTGTATCCCCACTGTCTACCTTTGAATAGGAAACTCATCACCCTATCCTTGTGATAGATGGTACTGTCCAACTAAACACGATTTTCTTCATTTTTTCTCTCAACTTATACTTTCCTTTGTTTACACAGTGAGTAACTATGTACTCCAAATAAGTAAATAAATAAAAGATCCAACAATGTAGGAGACAATTTGGCATTCTTTTAGAAAGCTAAACACTGACCATTCAACCCAGTTTCATTCCTAGATACTTACCCAACAGAAGTGGTAGTTTTACATTCATATGAAAAGAAATGTATATTGATGTTCATAGCAGTTTCACTTGCACTTGTTCAGCAATTGAAATTCTTCCAAATACTTTACTTGGTGAATGAATGAAGTGTGGGAAGTTCTCAGTGACGTGGTCAGCTACAGTTACCCTTCCGTGCTTGTGTTTCTACAGCTGCAATCTCAGCTGTCAGTAACATGCATTTAGATCATAAGTAGTAAATATGAACAGGCATACTGTTATTCTCCAAACAATACAGTATAACAACTATTTGCATACCATTTATACTGTATTAGGAATTATAAGTAATACAGTGTTGTTTATAGAATATGGTAATAGATTTTGAGTTCCAGTAAGGGTTTCTGGAACTAAAACCTCAACAAGTATCAAGAAATAACTGTGTGAAAAGTGCAACAATATGGATAAATTTTAGGTTCATCATAAGATATTAAAAAAGCCAGAGTAAAAAATCTACATACCATAATTATTACATTTATAGGACGTATTAATAAAGAGGAAATTATAGAGATTAATGGTAAGTGGTTGTCAGCATTTAGGTAGCAGAAGAGTTGCCTCCTGTAATAGGCTAAACAATAGCTCCCAGGAAAGTCCATGTTTTAATTTCTTTTTTCTTTTTTGGTTTTTCAAGACAGGGTTTCTCTGTAGCTTTTGGAGCCTGTCCTGCAACTAGCTCAAGTAGAGCAGGCTGGCCTTGAACTCACAGATATCTGCCTGCCTGTGCCTCCCAAATGCTGGGATTAAAGGCGTGCACCACCACCGCCCAGCCATATCTTAATTTCTAGAATGTGAGATTATTATCTTATATGTCAAAGAGATTTTGTGTGATTAAAGATGAGGTAGCTATCTTAGCTTACCTGGGAGAGCCTTGAATGTAGTCATAGGGGTTCTCAGGAAGGGCAAATAGGAGAGAAAGTGCCCTTTGTGAAGACGCAGCATGGTAGTACTAAGATTGTACAAACAGTAGGAGATGGGAGAAGCAAGGACCACATCCTCACCTGAAGCCTCCAGAAGGAGTCAGCACTGTCACACCTTGGTTTTAGCTCATGTAACTTGTTTTGGATTTCTGATATGAAAAACTAACATTTTATCAACACACAAAGTTTTTGTTAATTCACTACAGGAGCCACCAATAAAGTAAGAAAAGCATAGGAGTGTTCATCCTTTCAGCTACTCTGGACCACGCTGAATGAAGAATTATCTTGGGCCACACATGAAATGCATGAACACTATGAAAAGCTGAAAAAGAAAAAAATCTATAATTTTCATGATATCCACTGCCATAGATAAGCAAGGAAATCCTCATATAACCAATATGGGATTCTGGTCAGAGTTTGTTTGTTTGTTTAAAGCAGATCTCACATTTGTAATCATTAGTAAAAGAAGTGAATACAACTAAGTAATAAAACCTTCATTGGGTTTTTTTTTTTTGTATTATAAAAGGTTAAAAAAAAAGTGGTCTGCATAAACCTAATGGCATGTCTGCCGTAACTCTTGAGAAATGTATGTTGTCAGAAGTCTTGGTGAGTTCTTAACACTCTTATCACATAATTTGATTCTCGTTTTCCTCTTAGTGTGCCTCAATCTTGAAAGAGTGCTTACATACATAAGTGCTGAAAAGAAGCAATGACATGAATTAGGCAGGAGGGTGGCTGCAAGTATGAGGTCAGCCTGGACTTCATAATTCTCCCTGTCTCAAAAGAACAAATAAGTATTAATAATTAAAACAAATAAATGTAGTCAAAATAAATTAGCATTCTAGTTAATTTCAGTAGGTGACTTTCAGCATAAGATTTTCTCACAAGTTATTACTTTGATTAGTAGGTTCATTTTAAGTAGGAGATGTGCTGTTCTCACCTTTTTCTTCTTCCTATGCTCTCCTATCCCTCGCTAGCAATTTTCAAGCTACCTTTAACTATGCCTCAGTCTAGGAACAGGTTTTGTAAAGTCATCTCTGGGTGGTTCTACTGCAATATTATTGAAGGACATTGCTGATCCTGATACAAATACATAATAACAAGGCTATGTTTTTGTCTTCTTGAGTCCAGACATTTCTATAGAACTGAAGCCTGGGGCTGTCTATTGATAACATATTCCATAGCATTCTTTTGGAGTGGGAGTAACAAGCGGTATATCTTTATCATAGTGCATCTGTCTCTACTTGCAAAAGGTGAACTGGTCTTATTCCTTCTTATGACATGCAGCATATATTTTAGTAATTAGAGAAGTTCTGTTTCCACCTATTAACTGCTTGGGTTGGATTGATGACTAGAGTACAGTCAAAATCAGCCCGTTTATTTGTATTTCTCTTCAGTGTTTTGGTACACAACTATATTTATTTTTGTTCTGAATGTGTCTCCTATCTCTAAGGTTTTACTTCTCACTTTTCTGGTTTTTGTTTGTTTGCTTGTTTTGTTTTTCGAAACAGGGTTTCTCCATGTAACAGCCTTGACCATCCTGGAACTCACTCTGTAGACCAGGCTGGCCTCAAACTCACAGAAATCCCGCTTGCCTCTGCCTCCTAAGTTCTGGGATTAAAGTCATGTGCCACCACCACTTCCTGGGTCTTTTCTGTATTTTTCTCCTTTTTATTGTTTAGGAATTCTAGACATGCATATAATGTTTTGTTAAATCTACCACCCCCATTCTTGCCTTTACAATTTCTCCCTTAAACCATATACTTTTCTCTTTCAAACCTAACGGGCTCTACTTTTTTGAACTCACAGAGTCCACTTGGTGCTATCTTTGTGTGCATACAAATAACTTAACAATAGGCCCAAGATTTAAGAATAGTATTGAGCATTGTGAGAGTAATTTTATTGAAATGATTATTGCAAATATTTTTTTCTTAAACCAGAGATGAAAATTTGCTCAAGCAGAAATCTTAACCCTTATTATGTAGTTGATTTCTGCTTTGAACCTTCTGAGGCCACATTTGAGGCCTTAAATAGTTAGGCTGTGTACTGTGTGTGGAGGAAGTGGGGATGGTGACACATTGTCATTTTCCTCTTAAGTAAGTTATGACATATGTCTGTGTTTAAAGGAACTATGATTATTCAGTCATTTCACTTTTTCCATACAAGTACGAATAATTGTCTTCTTAATGCTAATTTCTGAATAATCATGAAGTACTTTAGGCATTTAAATATTTATTAGGACTTCAGGGATAGATTAGTGGTAAAATGTTTGCCTCACATGTATCAGGCCCTGGATTTAATTAAACTCTCAGTACTATGTTAAAAAAAAAAGAGTATTTATATTTAAATCATTGTTCTTCTGAAAGTTTCATTTTCTAGGAAAATTCTGTATAAACATCAGAACCAGGAAAGATATATAATAATAAATTACTTATATTTAAAAATTAGAAAGGGGCCTAAATATAAATGCTTTTATAATCGTCATGAACTTGAAACACTCCAAATGTTCTTCAGTGACTGAATATATAAACAAACTATGTC